CGTCGCCGGCCACCTGCATCATTTGGAAAAGGTGCACAGGTTTTCTTGTAAAGAGTGAATGAAAATGTAACTGTCAAAAACTGCAAGGTCTCCTGCAACCTATGTATATACATTTCATGTTAACAGCAACACACAATAAAATGGTGGGTGTAAAGCGAAATTCTGTAGGTAAAGGTGGTCTGAAGCGACCTAGTGTAGTAGAAATGTGCTGTTGTGCCGGTAATGCAGACACTTGAATCTGATAGTGGTAATTGCTAGTCGAGGTCGATATGGATAAGCTTGTTTTCTCTATGTTCCCTCGAGAATATGATGAGAAAGCAAGTATTTAATCAGTAATGTTCCGTCGAATTTTCAGTTTATGATTATATTATTATCTAATGAAAGTTTACTGGTTTAGCGGCTGCCTCGTACTTCTTGCTCTCGACAGGAAGTATTTTCTTTGAAAGGTGAACGAATATCTGCTGCACAGATGGAAGCTCTTGAGGAAATTCTTCGACGAGTACAATTTGACTCTCTCGATTTCGAGTACACTTTCTTAGACGACGATGTACGCTTACTATAGCTTTTCCAGAGTTCCAACCATAACGTAACTCATAGTGGAGTAAATTTTTTACAGGCAGCCATCGCGCTGAGCGAGATGCTCGAGTTTTACGAATCCGCTCACAAGTTGAATCTTTCTTTCAATAAACAGATTACGGTTCGAGGATGGACAGATGTGTTCAAATCCGTGAAAAATGTTTGTTTTTAAAGTTGTTCAAGATTTAGTTCTTAAAACTGTGCTATATAGACATTGACGCTGAAGGTTGACGGTCACTGATTCATTCATGTTCTTCTAATTCTCTCGCATTCTGCTCACTTCGAATTTGCCATTACAGAGTAATTCGCTACATATGCTGAATCTGCGGTATACATCTCTTTCTGAGAAGTCGTTATCAGCTCTATGTCGTGTACTTCGAGGGACACCTCAACCAGTACTGGGTTGTCTTCATTTGGAAAATGTGAACTTATATGGAAAGAATCTTTACACTCTTGTTTGTGCCTTGAAATTCAACACTGTGCTCAAGGTTAGTTGTTCTTGAAGAGGCTTGCTCCCTGTTGGCATAACGTGTCGCAATGGGAAAGAGAGAAAATTTATTTATTTATTTTTGCGACCGATCCACTTACATAATCTGTTGGGAGAAAACAAATGATGATTCAACTTATCAGTTAAAAAAAACCGAATAGAAAGAGGTCGTCTGTGGTTAAGGTTGACTTAAAAAAAATTAAAAGGTGCCCTCTCATAAACAAGCATGCTCCAGAGCTAGAGAGAAAGCGAAATACTAAGCATTGCGAGGGGAAAAATCTAATCGAGATGGCCTAGTTAACGTCCAAAATCTGACTCACAGCTTTCTCGGTAGCAGCTTGACGGGAGAAAGGAGAGGCGTTGTCATACTCCTCTGCTACTCCAGCGATCACTTCAGAACACGCCCTTTTATCCGCCTTCACTATCTCAATAGGATTGGGAATTAGCATAGTAACCGTTTCTCCAGAAGTGGAAGCGCTCCAAGTGCTTTATTTTGAAGGACATCGTGAAGTCAGCGAGTACAGCAGAACAAGCATCAGGTAAAGAATGGGATATTGAAGAAGCCATATAGGGCGAGGAAGTTTTCCTTTCTTCCGAATCGGGTGGGGGGTCTGCGCACTCATGATAGGAGCAGTCACTTAAACCGACCACTCACCGTGGCCGCAGACAGTCGAATAATATGTAGTCAAAGAAGTAGGGGTACTGGAGCCAAGTAGAGCTTTTCTAAAGACACAACATTTGATCAGCTTCTATGACCTGCGACACCACATAAAGCTTCAAAAGTGAAACGGCCATAATGTATTTTTTGTACAGGAATTGTACCTTGGTGAGAACACATTGCAAGGTGCTGACGGAGCTCATCTTTACCAATTGATCATGAATAACACCGCCATTCAAATGCTTGATTTGCGAAATAATAGTCTGGGGGTGAGTAAACAGTTTCTTACCCATTCCTGCTCTGCTCACATTTTTTCCTAGTTTGATGCCTTAGTCTCACTCATATATTTAACATTCTGATGTTTAAGGACATGGGCGTTGCTAAGATTTGCGAAGCGTTGCGTAATCCGGAAGTGGTGAAAAAAACTTCACTCACGGCCCTCGTCCTGTGGAACAACAAAATTACAGCCACTGGTATGGATGCCGTTGCTGGAGCACTGGTTGGGTTGTACTATATTTTTACAAGGTTTGAAGGTACATGAAAATAGTCTTTCTAGTGTGAAAACTGTCATTTGGAAACGCTCAACATTGGAAGCAATCCACTTGGTGAGATGGGCGTGCAGAGGTTGAGGCCTGCCCTTGGAGGAAACGGCAGTAATCTGCACAGAATTGGTCTTCAGAGCACGCAATTAAATTGCCAAAGTATGTTGATTCCCTTCAATTGATGCGAAAGTGGCTTGTTTCCGTATCGTCAGTTAAAGACAGAATCTCCACACGCTGATCCCATAAAAAAGGTGAAATCATAAGTGACGAATGGTGTCCCATAAGCAGTGTCGTTTTCATTCAAACAAAAAATTTTCTGCTATGTTTCACTGTTTTACATCAATTATGTACCATTCGAAAGAGAATTGTCTGCTCTACAAGATGCTATGTTCCTCTTCCACTTGTTCCAGGGTTTTCAAATTTTAGGCCTGCGAAATGGGAGGTCCAGCCGACAAAAATTGACCAAACCGACAACTAGCTCTAACTTTATTTTCCCTGGGAGAAATCAATCATGATGTACCTTCTACTTACTTATAACCTAAACACTCCTCAATTAAGATGATGAGAAAACCTTATTTTATTTCTCGAGTTTGGTTCTTCTGGCTGATCGATTAGCAACATGAACACGCTGTGAATTAGGTTGAATTTTAGTCCTGCGTGATAAGTGTTCAGCCCACGAAAATGATCACATTACTTTGGAAAAAACTCTCCTCGAGAAGATGAAAAAATCTATCAGGCACACTTTCCTAACTCAGCCATGACTTGTTCTTAACACGTTGACGACAGGCTGACGCGCAAGCGCGTCAGACATTTGGCACCGCATTGGACATTCTGACGCGCATGCGCGTCAGCATCTTGGTACCATTTTTCCCGCGCATGTCCGACTTCTTCCGAAATTTTTTATCACCATTATATAGACGATACATCATCATGCTGTAAACGGTGTGGTCCATAATGCAGACAACAATGTGATACATAATGTAAAGGAATTACGGTTCTATGACTTGTTTTTTTTTCATTGAAGCAGTCTATACAAAAGAATTTTCGACATCTTCCGCAGCGCATTTTGACCCATTTTGTTTTTTGAGGCCGCGAAGAGATCCTTGCTCTTTAGACATAGTTGCATAATGTTCTAAACACTTTGTGCTATTAATTCCTTTTGAACCTTTACTTACTTCTTCTGACATCTGTCACGTGGGAAGCAACTGGCTTGGGAAGTATTCACGCTCAACGTTCAGCAGTTATTCGACCACTTTCTTGGAGTCATCTATCCGAAGAGATAGTGTGAACATGCACATTCTAGGTTTCCACGCGTGTCATTCGAATCGCATGACCCTCCTCTCTCCCCATCCCCCGAGCTGGCTATACTCCCCAGGCTCATGGATTCCTTATTCTGCATTGATGTCATCACTAGTATTTCGCTGAGAGGGTAGAGACAAGCAGTGCGTATTCAAGCCGTCGGATGCCCTCCCTTGCGAGTCAGGCAAATCACGCCCGCCAAAGCG